TATACTACCTCCACCCATCGTTTACTTTAAGTTTTAAATGTTGTTAGGGAGAAAAATAAAAATTAACAATTCGAATTTTATATAAGTTTCCTAATTATTACTTTTATTTATTTATTTACAATTAATTTATCATATTTCCATAAGGTAAGATTATGAACCTCGTGATGATTAAAAGATTTAATAAAATTAACAACAATAAATATCAAACATAACAATTAGAAGACGAAACCAAGGAAATAATAGCCTAGTTTTTTTTTAACACTATTCAAAATTACATGACATCGTACTTAGGTAAACACCTAATAAGTTAATACACCGGTAAAAATAAAAAAAACCTAAATAAACACACCCACATCATAGATACGCCTGGAATTCAGACACGGAGTAAAAAACAAAATGAGGAAAAAAAAGAAAAACGAAATTATTCCAAAACCCACCAAAAGCAAACAAACATCGACAAACTGATGATACACACACATACCAACAAGACTATAATTTCACCGGAAAACAAAAAATAAAAATAAAAAATTAAGTGGTGGGGTGGCGTTAATTATTCTGAGGGCCTCTACCGCCGCCGATTTGAGGCTGCGGCGGCCTCCTCCGCGCCGCAGCCACCGTAGCTGGCGGGTCAGCCGCCTCTGACGGCGGTGGGTCGCTGCTGGGCCCATCCTGAGGCTCGGGCCCAAAACCTAGGCACTTGAGCACGGCCCATAGGAATCCTTTGCAGTAATTGCATGGGCTGGTTTGACCGGAAAAGGGCTCTTGACCAGCACTTTCTGTTGCCTTATTTTGGTTTTCAGATTTTTCTCTCATCTTTCTTTGTCTTTTTCTTTTTCTTTGTTTTCAGACAGAAATTCAATGTTAGGTGGATGGTGTGAATAAATGAGGTATGCGTCGTTGGTAGTAATAAAGGAGGAGAAAACAAACCCTATTTTTAAATTGAAAAAAATGTTTATATTTTTTAAAAGAAATACATACATGTTTAAAAAAAAGTATGACGGGTGGATACGTCTTATGGTTAGATCGCCTTAACAACAATTTGTAATGAAAAAATTGGAGATTTAGTCACTGTAATTGACAGCAAATTGAGAAATAAGACAGTTGTTGTGTTGATTTTACAACCAAAAAAAGAAAAAAAATCGACTTTTAGTCCTTCTGCCGACAAAACCCGGTCAATTTGGCCGATTGTTAAGTTGGATATGTTAGTAAACTGTCACGTGTACAGAAAAAAAATAAAAATCAATATTTAACGTCAACAACCGGTCATGAGGACCGACTTTTGCCGGTGGAAAGACCAAGAGTCAAGTTTTTTGCAGTTATATGGCGTTTAAAGTCAGCGTGATCACCGAACTATCTCTCAATTAAGTGTAACTGAATTAAGTGTCAGTTACAGGACTGAATCTCCAATTGTTTCTAATACATGTAGTTTTCTTTAAATTATATTTTACTTTTGTGCCACTTACATGTTTTTATTTGAAAATGTCATATTTAGAAATATCTTATAAATAAAAATGTCAAATTTAATAGTATAAATTTATATTATTTATTTATAAAATATTACATCTCGACCCGCAGTACATTAAAATTTGTGACCCAATACATTGACTAAGTTTATCTCATGTTATTTTGCAATTGAGAGCCTTTTCTTAGGCGGTGGCACATGGCTGCCTACCAGCTTTGTTTGTCAAATGACCAAAATATCCTTCCTTAATTTTGTACAAAATGGGTATTTTGATGAACATTTGGGTATTAAGCTTTGAATTATATGTTAGACGATTGAAAATTGAAATATTAAACATGAAATGAGTGTATTTGTTCAAAAGTATATGTTCAATATGAGATAATGTTAGTTTATGCTGACAGTTACTGTATTTTTTATGTGGTGCCGAGTTGTTATTTTGCGGAGCTAATTGTTAGCAAAAATATCATATTATAAAGATATATTTTATTTTCTTCAAACAGTATAAACTTTATTACACCACCAACTACGAGTCAAAATGCATTTTGTTAGACCGTCATAAATAGTTTGAATACTATTAGTACCTAGAATACTTTATTAAAACTTATTTTTAATATAATGAACTTATCTTTTGAGTTAAAAATCAAATGAAAAATTACATTGGATTATTTTAATTTTAAAATGAAGCAAATGAATAAATTGAAGATTTAGAAGTTGGCAAGCATTTTAGCTTCAAGATTCATAACCGCTAAAATAGCTAAAGAATACGATTTAAAATGCTTTAGCATGACACAGTTTTCCTAAAAATCTAAAGGATACCTACAAAAACCACCCTTGATATTTTGAAGTATTTTAAAAAATACATAGAGAAATTTTTTGTTTTGTTTGGATTTTTTGGTTTGGTTTGGTTTAGTTAATTGTAAAAATATGGTATGGTTAGTTGTTAGTAGGTATATTAAAATAATATTAAAATAATTAAAATTGATTTGATATAAAAGTAAGAGAGAGATAATTTGAATTGATGGTTAGTTAAAATAATGTGAGTGGATGAATAGTGAATTAAGGTTGATATGGTGTGTATGAATGATTGATATTATTTAATTATATTGATAATATTGATAATAGTGAGGTTGACTTAAAGTTGAGTTTAAAAAAATAGTTGATTAAAATATTAGATTTTTATTTAAAAAATTTCAAAACAAACATGCTCTAGGATAGATTTAATGTTATGGTACTAACACTATAATTGATGTTACTTAAAGCGTGTTCATCTATTCTTGCTTTTTTTTTTTTTTAATTCNCTGTTAATGAACGAATACAAAATACAGACTAAGATCAAACTTCAAACACAGTATCTGCAACAACAAAAGCAGAGGAAATAGGTTTGATTTTTTTACCTCATTTTTCTGTACTCAAACTTCAAACTTGTGAAAAATCATTTCCCTATACAAAATTTACCAAATATGTTAGAGAGAACTTCCTCCGAAATGTCCTCTCCGCTTATTTGTCCGAGAGCCAAAGCAGCTTCTCGAAGATCGATTGTCCAAAAATCGAGTGGTATCTCTTCCTCTATTGAAGATTGTAACCTTTGAAAAGCTTCTCTGGTCCGAACAAGCTGCTCGCATTGCCTCTGCCCGAAAAAAAGAATAAAAAATCATAAAAAATGAATTTGTTAAATAATGAATTTGATGAATCTAATGGATTAGGTACAATTTTCAAGTACATTTATCGAGTAAAACAAGATTCGAAGACGAGGATGACTAATGGAGTATAGCTAATGAACAACCCAAAAAAAGAAAAAAATGAAAAATGAAAAAAAAAAAACCTTAAAAAATGAATTTGAAGAAAGATTTGAGTAAACCTGGTTAACAGTCCACGAGCGCCCCCCAGCTGGGACTTTATTCAAACCAACGAGCTCTATTATTGCCGAATCTAAATCCGAGATCCCTTGACCAGTCAAAGCACATGTAAAAACATGCCTGTCGAACATTCCGGAAATTTCGACGACCCATTCACGAAATGACGTGTCACAGTCAACTTTGTTGACCACAAGAACAACTGGAGAAGTTGATGAAGATGCACTCTGCATTTGAAAAAAAAAATGTTAAAAGGCAAGCTGATTTTATTGCTAATAATTCTTTTCCATTGAACAATTAGCTTATTGAACCTCATAATATGTTGCTAGTCAAGGAAAATATCTATAACCTTTAGTAGTGCTGCAAAAACCAATATAACTGCAAAAAAATTGGTAAAAATATTTACGCAGCTAGTTTTAAAAGGTTCGATGAAACCTTATTGCTTTGAATTCTCTCGAGAAGCCTCTCATCCTCTACAGTCCACCCCTCAGCTGCACTTACAGTCATGACAATGACATCAGCACTTGTGGCCACTGCTTCAGACCTCTCAACACCTAGAAACAGTATAATCATTTAGGAACACGGATTTATTTAGAATTCGTAAATAAAAGGCATGAAATCTTGTTAATTTTTCAAGAACCCAATAAACAAATAAATAATATTGAGCCCTCAATTTTTTCTAACTGAGGAAAAATTCTTATTCTCTATAACAGTTCTATGATTTCATTTTCTTTTTTTTTTTTCCTTTTAAAGAGAAGTTATATGTGTTGTACATAAATTACAAACAATTTAAGAAGGGGCATTTTACAGATAAGGAATCTTCAGTCAAAATTAAACCTTGGATGTTCAAAAGAAAGAAAGAAAGAAGAAGATGATATTTTGCCTCTACACGGCGTTATTTTCGACTATACATCTCTAGAGGCTTACATTATTTATCCATTCATATCAATGAGAAAACACAATGAAATCCCCCAAGTATAGCCGATAAATCACCATCAAGTTTTCTAGCTACAACTTCAACAATGATAAACATTAAATGCCACAAATAAGCTTCTAAAAACATACTTTGCTCCATGCATTAAGAAGGCTTGATTTCCCAACATTTGGTCGGCCAACAATTGCTATCTGGACAAATATTAGCAAGGATGATAACTAAGAAGAAATAACAGAAGACTAGCAATACGTGAATAGATAAATCATATTTTTAGTTTGCCAATATCTGAAATCAACTAGCCCACATTATTCATGTAAGCGTGAGATTAATTTGGAATGCGAGCGCGATAAAGTACCTGTACACCAGATTGCAAAAGCTTGTCATAATTAGCAGTTTCTAAAGCATCATTTACTTCTATCAACATCTTTTGAATCTTATCAGTGACCAAATTGAGGTCGAGGGGTGGCATCTCATCATCAAAATCTAAACGAGCTTCAATCTCTGTAAGTAACTCTATGCACTGAGCTCTTAATGATTTCACCAAAGAAGAAAAGCCTCCCTGTCAATGGACATGCAATACTTTGATAGCAAAAAGACCTTGTAATTTTGGCTTGACCTGAATAAACACTTTTGGACACTAAATAGAATGTTAAGTTATTTTAAAAGTCACCTGTATTCCTGACAATGCAGCATCTGCAGCTGCCGATGACTTAGCTGATATAAGTTTTTCCACATTCTCAGCTTGTGATAGATCTAATCGGCCATTTAAAAAGGCACGGAGTGTGAATTCACCTGTGAAGGTTAAGAATACATTAATATTAAGCTTCCACAATTATCTAAAACATATTGTATTGTCTTTTCTCACCACAAACAAAACAAATTCTGAAAAAAAAAAAAAAAGGGATATGATTTCGACACATCACATTTGAGAACATAGATGATAGATGCTCCAAGTTCAACTACTGATCGGTACTCAAAACTCTACCCATAATATTAAGAGTATTATAAGGAGAAAATAAAATATGCTAGTTATTAGTCCGTTTCAAAAAGTTAGTGAGAATTCAAGCATAAGGGATTATAAAAAGATAACTTAATGTATTTTCTCATGTCTCAGTCAACCCTGCAGCAACCCTATGGGTTTCTACTCCATTCGATGTAATGTATTCCAAACAAAATTGACACACCAAGAAACTCAAAGAAAATGGGAAATTGAAAATTTGAAATAGCAAAATTTAAGATGATGAAAGAAAATGACCTGGCTCGGCAAGCCTCGCCCCAGCATCTAGGCAAGCCCGTAAGACACGATGCAAGCACACTTCAGAGCCATGACACTGAAGCTCAACCACATCCTCACGAGTATAAGATTTCGGGCCCAACATTGGCACCACTAAAACCTAGTGAATAAATTACGACAGCCACCAGGATTAGCAAGATTAAATTGCATGAACTAAAACCTTTTTATTACTACGATTATCTCATCCCATCTCATCTCATATTGCTTAACATACAGTTGAGTGAAGTAGTTTTCACAAATTTGAACCTGAAGTTATGGGCTTGATTAAACAAAGAAAAATAAAGAACGAGAGGGAAAGGACAAGCAAAGCAAAACAAACCGTAAAATTCTAGCTAAGATGGATTCTTTAATTTTTTAACAGGTGAATTTATAAAAATAAAATAGAAAATGAAATTTCCTCTTCTTTACAGCCGACAGTCTACAACCATTTCCCAACACATTATACAATATAATGGTACTATTATAGTCTACAACAATTTCCTCGCAGGCATTATCTAAGCATAAGCAACAAAGCAGAGTAGAAGACATAAATCACCCAAGCTATTCATATTTCCATAAAAAATATTCAATTTCTTAAACAAATAGAAAACAGAAAGATACTGGACAAAAAATAGCAGTACCTCATCAATGACATTGCCATGTGAATCTATAACCACACCATACTCAACAAAATGGCTATTAGGCAACCAATTAGAACCTTTTCTCCTTTTTCTTGACATGGGTCGAAAAACCTGCCCAGCAATAGAAATGGCCGAAGGACCAGATAAACGCACAATCCCCACTGCACCTGGCGGCCCACCCAATGAAGTCACAATAGCTGCAATTGTACTCGAGCAAAGGATTTGCTCTGCACAGTTCAGTTCTCCATTCCCCAACCTTTCATCTTCCTTGAGAATCAAAGTGTTCTCTGATTAGACAAGGTTAAAATCCTCAGAACCCTCGAACATGGTTGCACAAAAATTCCATATGCATTTATCTAAAAAAATAAATGTTTGAGCAAGAAAACTAAATACTAGCAGCCCTCGTACATAACTTGGCAGCTCATCAAGTTTTTTCTTCTCGATAAAATGTCAGATGCTACATAAAGATTGAATCTTTTTATTCCCGACAACTAAATATAGATATAAAATGACGAATTCCATGTGTTCGATAAGCATACGGACTGAAAGGGAGGTATAAACTTGCCTTTAGCAGCTCCAAACGTGGCCAGAGGTCGAGGATTAGAAGTAGGCTTGTGGAAGGTCGAAAACGGGTGGGTTAGTTTTCTGCGAAGTGGATTTGAGAATCTGAGGAAGATTGAATGTCGGGGGATTGGGAAACTGCGGCGCTGCAAGTGATAAAGCAGGTGGCGGAGAGCCAGTGGCCCCGCCATTGTTGCCGCTGTCTGCAATTCCAAGGTTTTTGAGGGTACAAATACAATCTTTTTTTTTTTTTTTTTNTTTGGGTACAAATACAATCTTTAGCTTATGGCAAAACGGTTTTGCGGCCAGCTGAACCAACCTTCTATATCCATCAAATAAATCTACTATATTTTAATATGATAGATTTCTTTAATGTATATAAAATATTGGCTCCACTATGGAGTTAACTATTGGCTCGATAGCAAAACCGTATCGCAAAATACTTGATCTTGTATTTAACTCGAATTTAATCCCAAAATAATTATTATCTCATGAACTCGATATAAATTTTTTAAACTTTTCCCTATTATTTAAAACTAGTACAGAGCCCGTGTGATGCACAGAATGCACAATTTTAAGGCTATTTATCCAGACTTATAATTATATACATGAATAAAGAAAAATGTACGGAATATATATAGTACGTGACCCGCGAGATATATTTATTTGGAGAATATTATATTATAAGATGCAATATTCAATAAATGTTTATAATACGCAAGAAATTGTACGATGTTCAATAAAAATTTTATAATATTCAAGTGGAGTCTTAAAGTCTCTTGTACATTAAGACTACTGACAAAATAATATTTTAATCAATGAGTTTCATTTCCTTGTAGCCAAATTGTGAATGTGATTTGAGGAGTACAACAAATCGATATATAGCTGACTTGTTTTTTTCATTGTAGTTTTTTTTTCTTTTTTTATAATAAATTTAAATATATTCTAAAATATAGCAAAAATTAATTTTTTTATTACAATTAGGAATTTTACTAAATATAAGCTCTCAATCTATAGTGTTAATCAACGTTTAAGTCTAAAAGATTAGGAATTTTTACCTCTTTTAATCAACGTTTTAGTCTAAAAAACAATAGAGTTATTATAAGTTTTTTTTCTACATCTTTTAAAACATTAAATATGAGCATGTTAGGGCTAGCTTGTAAAATAATTAATATATTATCTCACTAAAACATTTATACTAATAAAAATTTAATTTTAGTATATAAATTTATCCCTTGATATAAGAGAAAGTAACAGTTTTACTTATTGTTGTTCACCATATAATATTTAATTATTATTTTATTATATAATAAAAAAGGAATATTGTTAAATAGTGTAAAAGAATTGTTACAAAATTATATGAATTTTTTTTTTTTTTACAATATGGATTTAATATTTTTATGATTTGATAATATAAACAAATCTATACTTGACTTTGACAAATAAAACAAATAAATACTTTAGTAAGTATTTAATGTATATACTAAATAGAAATTATACCAAATATAATCAAATAAGTCAAAGTGTACATTTTTATTTGGTATTTAATTTTTATAATTAAAATCTTTTTATTATACTTACCTTTTTAAAATAAAACAAATAAATAAATCAATTTAATAAATAAAATATTATAATACCAAAATAGTAATGACATTTAATGCAGTTGACTTTTCTGGATAATAAATGTAGTAAATAGAATATCCTTTTATATAATATAATACGGAAATAGTAATGCAATAAATGTTGTTGACTTTTCTGGCTACTTAATTTGGTAAATAGTACCCCATTTAATATAAGTATAGATTATAGTAGGGTTAATTTTTATAATAATTAAATACAGACAAATTAGTCATCTTTTATGATGTCGATTAATATTCACTGAATTAGTACTTTAATGAAACTAAAACATTACATTGCCCATGTCACATGATTTATATGAAACGTTATTTTCTTTTGAATTAACTCCGCCTATATTGTCTCAACATAGCAGGTTCCAAGCTCTGGTAAAGGAGGAGGGTTGTGATAGGCTTGGCGAGTTAACATAAAACCTAGCCGTTCTATGGAGATGAAACACATGAGAAAGACTTTTACTCCTTTCTCTTTCTCTTTTTTTTTTCGATCTCTTCCTTTTGGTTCGAGTCTTTTTGGGTTTCTCTTAAGTTTCATCTCTAGTCTACGCCGACTTGCTTGGGACTAAAGGCTATGTTGTTGTTGTTGTTATTTTCTTTTGAATTGTGATTAGGATTTCCACAATTAAAACTTGAAATATGAATCCAATTTGGGTTTCAATTTATTATAGAGGATCATGAGAGTTGAGACTTTTCCTTCCATTTTTTGCTTTATGAATATTGGAAAATGTACATAATTTTGTATATTTGAATATACTATGGCGTCAAGGTTCAATATGTTGTTATTCAATTTACATTTTCTTAAATGAAATATAAATTTACATGGAAGTTATACTTTTGATGATAGAATATATATGTACATGTAATAGAAAGTAGTAGTATAATACTCTTTGTACTAAAAGTTTAATAATAAAATAAATTATATAATATTTTAATTTATAAATACTTTTTAAGAATATATTAGTCATTTTGTTTAAATTGACATCCTTCAAGCACAAATACAATATCATTAAAAAATAATTAATTTCCTATATTATTTATTAAAAAAATGAAAAAATGGTATATTGACTTGTGGGTAGAGAGATGTTAAACGGGCTAGCCCTAGCGGGCTTCGGGCTAAACGGTCCGAGCCTAAAAAGCACAGATTTAAACGGGCTACCAATAAAAGGGCCTAACCCTAAACCTAGCGGGTTTCGGGCTAACGGGGCTATGCGGGCTATAATAATAATAATAATAATAATAATAATAATAATAATAATAATAATAAACTACAACACGAAGTTAATAGTTTTTTTCAACGACTATTTAATATTTGCCACTATATATATACAACTACACTTCATATATGAACACACATTACAAACTCTTAAATAACATATTGTTTCTCAATAGAAAAAAAAATGTTCGAATTATTACTTATAACTACCATTTGACTAGTTAATTGGTACGCTTCGGGAATTTTCACAATATAGCATACTGCTGAATTTATATTCTATCACTATATTCTATGTGTTAGGTCTTTGTCTCATTTGTTTTTTATTAGCCGTTCTTATAATATTTTGTTGTGAAATAGAATAAAAATTGTTAATAATTATCTATTAAAATAATAATAATACATTATATAACTCATAATTACATGTGATGTATAAAAACAAAATTGTAATATACAATGAATCATGAAACACATTCTTTACCTTTCTAAAAACATATACACCACTCAACCCAAGTTAAACGGGCTAGCCCTAGCGGTTTTCGGGCTAGCCCTAGTGGGCTTCGGGCTAAAAAGTCCGGCCTAAAAAGCCCGAATTTAAACGGGCTGCCAATAAAATGCCCTAATCCTATTTTTTTCCGGGCTAAACGGGCCGGTCCGTCGGGTTAAGGACCATTTAATATCTCTACTTGTGGGCAAAATGTGAGCTCATATACAGTCTTAAAATATGGGCTTCTTCAGCCTAATATATTGACTTGTGGGCCACAATGGGCTGACGTAGAGCGTCATAGGTTCTTGAAATAAGCTGGGCCTAGGTATGTTGAAATAGTGACTCAAGTGAATTTAAAGGCTGAACCAAGGTAGATTTAATTCAGTTTCATCAAGTGATCACATTATTTTTTCCGAAACGATTGATACATGGCTAAATAAAAAGATTACAAACTAGAGATCAACTAAATAACTGAATTAAAACCGTTAACAAGCTGAATGTAGGAGAAGTACACTTGTTAGCCTAATTAAGTCCGAAAATACGCACACACACTAAAACAAAAACAAAACAAACATATGAATTCCATGATTAACACTTATGGAGAATAACAAAAACAAAACAAACTGTAAAAAACACAAACAGAACACAGAAATGTTATAGAATAATGCTCTCCTCGTCTCCCAAACAGCTTGCGACAACCACTTGTTCGCACCACACATTTGAAAATAGCTACCAAAGACGAGCATGATCGCAATCGAGATACTAAGATCTGAAAACTCCTAAGCAACACAGCTCAATCGACTAAGCAAATTCGAGAATTGTCTTCAGTCTTCACTATCATGTTTTCATATATTTTGGCCATAAATATAATAATAATTCCAAATTTAACCTTTTCTTTTTTATTTTTTAGTTCATGACTTTGTGTCGTTTTTCGAGTCGTGCATCATCATTTTATATCTATAATCGTAATTGTATAGTGTCATATACGTCTTTCGTCTGGTGCCATCGATCGTCACACTCCATGATATATAATTGAGGTTTTTTTTATCATTTGACTCAAAGTTGATCTACCAACAAGCTTACATAAGATAATAACATAAACATGTAATATGATTATAACAAATATTAAGTTCAATTACAAATACATATATATGTCAATCATAATTATATCTCTACATGATAGAGCATGCATGAGGATTTTCATCACTAAACATGAGGGAATATTTTTCTTCGACCGGGTTTAGAGTCGCCACTCCTGGCTCGTAAGTCCGTCTCACGAGATTAGGCGGCGCTTTCTTGTCGTAAACTCCCAATGCATAAGGGTGGGCCATTAGCTCAACTGGAACATATGGCCACAGCTCCACTTTCTTCTTCGTCTTCTTTGCCGCCTTTAATACTTTCTTAGAATCCACAAATCCGGTAACTGTCGCTTTATGTTTTTTCCAGTCCACCTCCACGGATCTCGCCCCTATGCTTGNGGTTTTACATGGGTTTTGAAAGAGGTGTAACCAATATAAGCACGTGACATGTTAAATGGACATTTTTATTAGAAATTTGTCAAGTCAGTGCATTACTACAAAAAAAAAATGATAAATTACAACGAAAAATCCTATGCTAATATATTCCAATAGAAACTCCAACGGATATTCTAATAGTACATAGTTGGAATCACGAAAATATTTCGTTGGAATGAATTTTTTCATTCGAACTTATATGAAATTTTACGATTCTAATGGCTATTTTTCCAAGGGTTTTTTTTTTTACTGTTGGAATATGCAATTTCCACCCATATTTCAACCGTTAAGAAATCTATCGTCACAATCATCATTCCAACAAAATATTTTTGTTGAAATTTCCGTTGTAATCCATTGAAAAATTCCAACAGAAATAATAGAATTGGATTATCATTGGAATTGCCGTTGAAATTCCATTGGAATTTCAACACATTTTTTTATAGTGTATTCAGTTTTATGACGTTTTTCACTTTTTTGACAAGGACCAAATTAGAGGAACAAAAATGAAATTTTGCGTGGTAGCATATTGACATAATCGACAAAATACAACTATTCATGCATGGACTTAACGCGGGCGAACTCAAGAAACTCACAAAGAAAAGTTGTGTGCATATCGATCGAAGATTAGTTTACATAAAATATACAAACCTTTGATAGAAGAGAGTACATTCTTGACTTTATGTCCACAGCCTTCACAATCCATCCTGATTTTGAGGGTTACTGTGTTGATTTGCCTCCTCTTCTTCCTCTTTGCGGTGATAAACAAATCAGTCAAGAAATCGAGAGTCCCTTCAATTCCCATCTTTCCTTATTCTCTTAACTATGTACTTCCTATATTGCAACTAGGTTTATGCAGCTTTGAAGGGAAAAAAGAACTAGGAAATTAATTGTTTGTGTAGAAGCTTTTAGTAAATAAAATCTTGTAAGGTAGATGATTTTGTGCTGAAGGGAATAGAGTTGTGATTTATGGCTTTATATATATGTTAAGGAAGAGAATTTCAGCTTTGTAATTTCTTGGATGGATGTAGTTGCATATTTTGCTTTGTGGGGTTCTCAAGGGCATGCATGTTGTGAGATATCTTTTTGACATCTAGATTCTATTCTTGAAATTTACTTTTATTTTATTTTAGTTTTCAAAATTACTTTTGAAATGTCATAAATATTAAAAAGACCCTAGAAAATCATAGTGTCAAATAATTTAAATACCTCAAGATTTCTTAAAACTTTTTAAAATTTCAAATGAATATCTCGAGTCTGTTAAAAATCTTGAAAAAGTCTAAATTAAATACATTATGATTTTTAAAATTTAAAAGTTTTTAGTAATACCAAATAGTGATTTATAGTCCCTCTTAGTCTTATATTGTCAAAGAGTAATATCTTCAACAAGATGTATTATTAACCTTGAGATACCTAAAATTATATTTCCTTACTCTCGAAGTTTTATTCCTCACATTTCACCATCAAATATAAAATAAATTGTTGGGCGGTGCATGGAATCAGAAGACGAAAGGACAAAAAACTTGGTCACAAAGTTATACGTTCCTTACTTCCTCTAGTAAATTTACATAAATGAACATGTGTATATTCCTAAAGCGAACCAAAAAAAAAAAATATTATTATTTTCCCTTGTTCTAGAATATTAGCCCAAATTCTTTTAGTGAAGGTATACAAATTGATTCGTCATATCTATTTAATAAAAATGCAAATTTATACTATGAAATTGATTTGTCATACTTCTTTCATTATATACAAACTTATACAATGAAATGTCGTTCTTATTTATGTTAATTTATAGAGTATGAAATTTCAGTTAAAAAATAAGCATAAGCAAGACTTTTCTGGAATATTAGATATAGGAATCAAATTCCATTCTTTTTTCTAAAAAGAGAAAAAGCAGCCACACCTTGAAAAGTGCCATGCCTTTGAATCAAAATCATTGATCCTTTTTTTCAACTTTTTATCCATAATAATTCCATCCTGCAAGATTAGCAGATGTGCAACTCAATCCACTTATTAAATTCAACAAAAAAAAAAAAAATAAATAAATAAATAAATAAATACATTCCAGTTTATCTAACATCTCATCCATTAAGGTATATGCTAAGTACTAGCTGATGTACAGCGCGGTTAAACTAAGGTTTCGAACTAAAAACCGACACTATTAATAGATACACCCACTGTTAAAAAAACCCATCCTTTCAAAATAAGTCAGGCCAAGCATGAGCAGTCCGAAGTAGTAAAGACAAACAAATTACAGCACGATACCGATAAAATCTGAGAAGTGCAGAAGCTCTAGAAGGTTCTCGAGTTGCTCTACCGGTACAGCTGGTGGAACATTCCGAGTCTCGTTTAGCAAAGGGTTTGGTGATGTGTCGTCACCTGGAGGTTCACCACTGTTATCGATAATGTCTTCACCTGGACCAGCAACGAGTGAAGCAAGAAGATAAAGTTAAAAATATGTGGCAATGAAGGTGGAGAAGGGAATATAAGGGGGCAATAATAGAGGGGTCAACAGGAGGCTAAGTAGCTTAAAAATCAGTTATAACATCATAACATTAACCTCTGATAAAAACGAACAAACAATAAAATCTTAAATCCTAGGTTGATGATCAAGTTTAGAGATTATTCTTTCAAGTACATACTAAAAACTAATATCTTCGAAGAAACAATTAGCTTCGTTCATCAAACTCCAGACGAGCCCTTGGTGCATAAAATCCAGACGAGCCCTTCGTTCATCAAACAATTAGCTTCAATTTTAACATTTGTGTGTTTTTAACATGTATTGAATGAAAACTTGAATACCCACCTGATCATCAGCATTGTGGAACATAGGATTTTCAATTAAAAAGCTCTGATTCTTGGAGAACACAACTTTTATGGAGGGAAAGTTCTGTTCCTCGAGTGAACTGTATCCTTTTACCTAAAAAAGATTTCCAACTAAAAAACTAATCCTTTTACCTAGCTTTATAACAAGTTTCAAATCCTTGAGTAGTGATCTTACTAGCATTAGATTGTTTGTGGAGCTGAACATATATAAAATATTATTAGAATCATCACAAGAAATTCGAACCGAATAATGAGATGTGAAATCATAGTCTTCGATTGATTGGCCGTTCTTCAATTCATTTCCATCTTTAGAGAGAATTATGTGATCTTTTGAAAAATATAAGAACAAAATTTGATCACATTATATCGGTTATGAGAAGAAAACATGATGACCATGATTGATGTGGTTAGTTTTAGTAGAACAGTGGTTAAAATTGGTTAATGATTGAAAACGTAAGAGAAGGTGTATAGTTGACAATATACTTTTAAAATATATATAATAGTTCATCAATATACGTAAAAAATTTAAACATAAAAAAAATGACACCAAAAAAAAAAAACATACCCTATAATTATGGGAGCCAGAACAGGACTTTGTTGTTTATTTCCTCCATCTGAGAATAAGTGCAACTGATCCTCGAAAAGACATCCGGAGCTTGAAATGTTTTCAGACAAATAATTTACAGTATAAGGGCATTGCCCGTTTGGTGTTTCACACGTAGGCCCCATTTCGCAAAATTCATGGCTGCAAAGTATGGGCTTGCTGCTATTCGATTGGGATGGACTATACTCCGCAAGCTTTTTATCCTATATAATAGATGCCCCGATTACAAGGGAGCACCTGCCAAATCAATCACTCAAGTATTAACTGCTACTAAACCTGCTATAAGTAAATCTAGTCATAGTGCATAGCTCAAAGAACTGACATCTGATGAGTGTTTGGTAAGGAACTCATCACTTAAGCATTTTCTGTTACACATAGTAAATGAAAGAACATAAAAGATATCATTATAAAATATTGCTAGTTCATACGTTTGACAAGCCTATACAAGAAAGGACATTATGTGCCACTTGATGTTTCATTTAGAATGGAAATCTTCCTCATTAAACTTCAATTTAAGAGTACAATCAAATAGAACATCTTAGCTTTTGAAATGTATGCAAATCACATAGAACCTACAAGCTTGATTGGATACAAATTTTCTAAGAAAAAAATCCAATCATTTTTAACCAATCATTTTTTTTTTTTTAACTCAAATCTAACTCAACTTTAACCCAACCCCACTATCCCCAATATTACATTAAATAGTTATAATCAGTCACTCTTACACATTAAATCAACTTTAATTTACTATTCATCCACTCGCATAATTTAACTAACTATCACTTCCTACTTTTACATCAAATTAACTTTAATTATTTTATTTTAAATGTTAGTTTAATATAAACTCAAAATCTCACTAACAACTAACCATACCACCTTTTTCAAAATTAACCAAACAAAATAAAAAAAATCTTATATCCAAGCATCCCCTAATGTCTTCGACACAAAAGCTCAGTGATCATAAGAGAAAACCTAAAGAGTTGATTTTGACAACTGATAGCGTACCAACATTTGGTAGTAACTCAATGAGAATCGGCCACACTTTTTAAAATCACAAGGAACCCAAAACATATCACTTTCAGTATCCAAAGCTACAAGAAAAGATTTATTAGGAGTCCCAATATCCATCCATGCATAATGCAACTTGAAAACCAAATATTATGCAGACCATAAGCACTGCATTTTGTGAACGAATTTAGGGGTATTCGGCAGAATCAATATAACACGGCAATCATTCAATTTCCCGATTCAAGGTGCATTTCAGATTTCATACATTCTGAAAACAAACAAGACACGAAGCAAGAATGTAATGTCACACTTATTCAACCAAGATGGGGTATTATTACAGTTTTGTTTGTTTTTTAGTGACGACACTCGACATTGATTTTCTTCATCCCTATATAAGAAATGCAGCAAATAAATTTAACACAGTTCAGTACTTCATAAATGACAAAATCATCAATTTTTGATTGATTAGATATTAAGACAGTGGAAGTTACTGCAGATAAATAGCAATCTATTAAACAATTGACAAATGAATTTACATTTCATTATGTTAGCATTGATAGATAAGGAACTACTCGAACCTATACGGAACATGAAATTACTCTCAAAAATCAAATAAAAAAATTGGGATTTTAGGTTACCACGAAGAGCAATGAAGTTGATCAGCTATAATCTCCATCAAATAGACTTGCACATAATCATGTAACAAAAAAGAACAGGAAAAAGAAAAAAAAGGAAATCATCCCCATTTCAACCCGCAACAACATATAGAACACATAGCATCATACTATTTATACACTACATATTTGCCAAACATTGACTAAGCAGTTTCAAAATAATTAGGTAAAAAAACAAACATAAAACAAAAATGGGGGAAAACAAAAGCTATATAAAAAAACACACCAACCCAAGACATTGCCATAGTTGGAACTCCGGCCGCCTTCAGAACCGACCACAGGCTCATTCTGAGCTGCAAGCATCAGTCTTTGTCACTTCAAGTTGTGGCCCAAAAGAGCTCTCATGTGCCCAAACGTCTTGTTATCAGGCCACGGCGTCGTTTCGTCCCTTCTCGCGACTTTGGGTACCCTCAAATTCCGGGGCTCATCTGAAAACTTGTGAATCAACCTCGAAGAATAAATGGGCTTCGCCGCATAATAATAGGCGTCAACGGCGACGAACAGCACCATTAAGGCACCAAGGCCATTGGTGTTTCCCATGGATTATCTTCGCCAAACACAGAGAAGAAATGCACTAATAAGAAACTAGAGATTAGAGGGACCAAAAAGTTTATTTAAGAGAAAAATTCATCGATATGTATAAATTAAAAATGTTAATTAAATAATGATTTTAAATTAAAAATATGAAATTAATATGTAGTACAATTTACCTATATTAATTTTTTGAAAATATTACATAAAATATGTATATTTAAAATTAGTACATAACCCATACGGTGCACATAAATATAATAAATTACATTATAGTCATTTCAAAATAAGTGTCATTTTAAAATTTTTATTCAGAAATTCGATTCGATTACAATGTGATTTCATAAAATAATTATTTTGGTAAACTTTTATCATATATTTAAATATCTATGTGAATAATAAGTATAATAATAAAATTTATATTGTCTCATTAATTAACTGAATTTATGTTTGTATAAGCTATCCAAATCAAAACTTTTAAGTAGTTCAGTAATTATTAAACGATAAATAATTAATTTTTTCATTTAGGTTCAAGTTAATATTGACTCGTAAGTTATAAATAATTAGTCATTTACTTTAAATGTGGAGCCAAAATTTAGACTACACAGTAAAATTCCTTATATAATTCACATATATACATACATATTTATATATATTATCTCGTAATTTTCTAGATTTGTTGTCTTTTATCTTATCGCTTAAATTTATCAACTAATCTCTAGAATTACATTACAACTTTTAAATTTTATTAACCAATATTTGTTCAAAATTCTTATGATTTTCCAGAGGGATACATATCAATTCGCCGAATTATCATATTAACTTGATTTTATACCACATATTTTGTTTTCAAAATTTTCAAATACACTTCTATCCATACCAAATAAATTTTATACCATTTAAATTCGAAAAATTTATACTAAAATAAATCGCCTACTTTATACCATGTATAGTAACGGATTTTTTTTTTTGGGTACAACAATTGGGTTATCATGCATATTTGATTGTTTGATTGTACTATATTTAAATATGATTTTTTGATTATGTCAAATCCGCCATTTTTTCATAAAATAATTTGACATAATGCATTTTGATTGTACTGGATTTAAAATTTATATGCACTATATGGTACTTAAAATAGTGATTTTCGTATGTATTATATATTTACTATTTGGGTAATACTCGCGATATAAACCTATAGGGTACTTAAAATAGTGATTTTCAATTGAAATTCGGGAAGAGATAGGATGTTGTATGTTAACTGACTTAAGAAAATTGCTTATTGGAATCCTTTATGAGAGTCCGCAAAATCATCATTCCTTTTGGAAAATATGGAAATATAATATCTGTTTTCCCAAATGAAAATGATCTTGAATTTATCCAATATGGAAGGAATCTCATCTAAATTACAAAATTTTGGAATGAACAAAATTCAAATTTTTGAAAAAATTTCAAACAAAATATTGGAGGGGGAAAAATGATTTGAGCGGCAAAATGAAATAATTTTTCAAACATTTTTTCTTCCATCAAAATATTAGGGGGAGAAAAATAATTTGAGAATTTTTCAAATATTTTTTCTTCCATTGTTATATAGTAATAGATAGATGGTGAGGAAAAAGTAGGTGTGGAGACTGGAGAGGTTTTGCTTGATACTTATGAGACCACTTTTATTTGTTTACTAAAGTAAATAATAATAGTAACATAATTTAATAAATATTAAATATTTTTTATCCTATATTTTAACCCTTTACAACATGTTTGTTTGACGGGATAGGGCAGGATATCTTGGTTTATCCTTCAATTATTCTGCGTTTGTTTCATTGGATTCAGCTCGGTATTATGTGGTTGGCCCGGGATGAAAAAGCTTGTTATCCCATGAAATAGGGATAAATCCATCCTTGTTATAAAACTAGAGAGAAAGAGAGAGAATAGAGAAAATGTATTCTCTTAGGTGTGTTTTTCATTATAACTGAAGCTCCTATTTATAGGAAACTCCTGATGGCACAATTTGTAATAATACAAATACATCGAGGGCAAAATAGTCATTCATATACATTATTTTATTATTTCATAACACTCCCCCTTGAATGACTATTTTCTAAACATATTTTAATTGATTTGAACAAAACACAATCTGCACATCTTCAAGTGTATCTTGTGGCCATCAGGTACTGTTGCTTCAGCACGTCAGGAAAACCCGGTAGGACAAAACCTGATCATCTTGAAATCATAACATTGTTTCTTCAGGAAAACCCAGTGGGACAAAACCTGAGCATTGTGGAAGCACAACATAGCTCCCCCTCAAATAGATCATCTTTAGTGGAATATCCATGTGCTGCCTCGTTAAAACCTTGTCAAGAAAACCCAGTGGGAAAAAAC